TAATTGGATAGTTCCTCAAGAGTCCTTGGGTAAGTGCCAATAGCACAGCTCTGAAGAAGCTGTTCGATGTAGTCTAAGCTTATTTTCTTTTTCAGGCAATATGCATTGTTTCTACTAGAAAAAAAAAAAGCCTTGCTGAGATATGTTTGGTGTAATAGTACTGTGCTTTAGAAATAATGGTACTTTAAAAATTAAATATAAACAATTGAATAAAATGTTCACTTTTGCATTCTTTAAATAATAACAAAATATGCATTCTTTTTGTGAAGCACAGTTTAGGTAAGGAATTCTGGTTAAGTAAAACACTGGACTGCTTCCATTTGTGTGTGTGTGTGTGAGCTTATATTATACTATCTGATGTACACAAGCACCAGCTTCACCAAAAACATGGAACAAAACAAAACCAACACAAAACCCAGACAACTTACATTGAAATAGACGTAGGTTTTGGAAAACTCTGATATATAGTAGTTTACCAAGTAAGTGTGTATTATGGACTAAACATTTGGGTCCCACAAAATGCATGTGCTGAAGCCGAGCCCCTATGATGGCATTTGGAGGTGGGACCTTTGGGGGGTGGTTAGGCTTACACGAGGACATGAGTGTGGGGCCCTCATAGTGGGATTATTGCCCTTGTGAAGAGGAAGAAAGATGAAACTGTTTGTAAGGATAACAGCTACAAGGTGGCCAACTACAAGCCAGCAAGAGAACCCTCACCAGGAATCTGCTGCCACTTTGATCTTGAACTTAGCCTACAGAACTGTGGGAAATAAATGCTGTTGTTTAAGCCACCCAGTCTCTGGTATTTTGTCATAGCATCCTGAGCTGACTAAGACAGTTGTTCTCAGCAGTTACTACAAAGAGCTCCCTGAATTATACAATAAAGCAGTGTGTTTTTTAAGGCCCTCTGATGGTTAACAGCTTGACTTAAAGTCAGAGAGACCTGGTTTTGCATTCTGATTCTACCAGCTATTAGCATAGCTGAGTCATATGCTCACTATTGTGCTCCAAAATGTAGGGATAGGCTTCATGGGTGTTTCAGCAAGTTTTGAATTTGGACTTCATAACACCAATCACATAGGTGATGATAACAAGTATAAAATGCTTTGAAAAATAAATGGAAGTACTCAAATCAGGTATATTACATATTAAGGTACAGACTTATGGAAGAGTGTCCTGTGGATCAAATATATTTTAAGTAAATTGTCTGAGCACTTTTTAAATTTTCATAAATATCAAATATGCTTTTATGCTTATATAGATTGTGTATCTGATTAAACAGTGTCATCCAAAAATTCATGTCCACCCAGAATTTTAGAGTGTGACCTTATTTGGCAATACTGTCTTCACAGTTGTAATTACTTGATATTTAATCCATGTCTATACTCTCACAAAGACAAATGTGTATTAGGGAGTCTTGCCTTTACCATGTGACGTGCTACTGCTATTCCTGATTTATGAGTCCTGGAAATTGAATCTACATAGATCATTTGGACTGAAGCAGCACATGCTAGCTAGAAACCACTCTATCTTTGTTGTAACAGTCCCTCTATCTCAAAACCCTTTCTTTTCCTCTTCCAGACTGATCTAGTATTTCTAATAATATACATAAAAAATACACTATAACAAATTACACTGGCCCTCCAAAGTCTATATTATGGAATTTTAGAATAATTATTCTATAAATTGACATTCCTTCTCTATGTAAACTATATAAACAAAGTAGACATAGACAGTTTGGCATCTAATAACAAGTAGCCTATCATTTACTAGAGGAGGAAGGGAGTGTTAAATACATAAAATTCTCCTTTCCTCTTTTCCTTTATGGTCAGGTGACTTTTTGTTGACTGTTTAGGTGGTATACTAGTATATGTCTGTGTGTGATTTTTTTTGTACTATGTTTCAGGTGACTGAAGTGAGGTGGTATGTGTGTGTGTGTATATATATATATATATATATATATATATATATGCTCGCGCACATATTTTTTTTTTCTTTTTTCTTTTCTTCTAGTACATTTTCGGTGCCTGAAGTGCATAAAAGGAATAAAGGTAAAAACATTTGCTGATGGGATCTGAGAGCTGAGAGCTGAGAAATGTAAGTACCCTTCTTTGCTCTACCACCATCTAGATATGCAACCTTAAGTAAAACAAATTACTTTTTTCTCTTTTTTCCCACATCAAACCCCCACAAAGATCTTTTCTGACGAATTGTTTCCTTATCTGAGGAAGAGGACTAATCCAAGGTCCTAAACCTCCCTTACTTTTTTACTTTTCTTCATTCGTTTCTATATTTGCTTTCTTCACTTTTCCTTTTTCACGTCCAATATTTAGGCCCCATGCTCGTCAACTTCATTTGACAAATATGGGCTAAATGCTTGCTATACACTAAAGCCCTGTTCTGAGCATTAGGTATAGAGTGATTAATAAAACAGACAAAAAAGCCTTATGCTCATGGAGCTTATTTCATTCAAGTGGGGGAGACAGATAATAAATAAGTTTTAAAAGTAAAATATATCGAATAATCATAACGCTAAAAAAGAATAAAATGGGGGGAAGAAGAAATAAAATGTGGGAAAGAGTGGTCATAAGTTTAAAGCGGGTCATCACAAGGAGGAAGTGGCTGACATGTAAAGGCGTGAAGAAAGGGAGGGAACCTACTGTGCATATCTGGGGGCAGGCAGTCCTGGCAGAGAAAAGACAAATGAGGATGCCCTGAAGCATGTGCCCAGCAGACTTGAAGAATAGCAACAAGGCCAACTGACTAGCTTCATATTTTAAAACAACCATCACTTTAATGTTATAGTAATAACAGATTGAAACCTGGTGAAGGTGAGAGGACTTTGGCTGCTGCCATAATTCAGAAAAGAGATGATGAAGGCACAAATCAAGAAAAATGCCAGATTTTAGTTCAAGTTGACATTTTCTGAGATAAAAAAATTGCAAGAGAAACTGCGAGTTTCTTTTTGCAGGTTGTATGGAGCAAGAACTTATAATAGTTTTCAATACACAAACACTGAGTAGTAACCTATTAGAATCCAATGAGAGAGATCAAGTAGCAGAGATAGCTTAGCATGATTGCTTAGCTAGGAATAGGAAAACTGCCACATAATATAATTCTAGATAACCATTTAAAAGAATGTCATAGATCTCCATGTAATGACATAGATCTAAAGAAGGACATACATGATTTCTGGAAGAATATATCTGTTGTTAACAACAAATACCTCGCCGAAACCAGTTTGGCTCAATGGATAGAGCGTTGGCTTGAGGACTGAAAGGTCCCGGGTTCGATTCCGGTCAGGGGCATGTACCTTGGTTGCAGGGGTGTGCAAGAGGCAGCTGATTGATGACTCTCTCTCATCGATGTTTCTAACTCTCTATCTCTCTCCCTTCCTCTCTGTACAAAATCAATAAAATATATTTAAAAAAACAAAAAACAAAAAAACAACAACAACAAATACCTCTAGGAGGAAAGTGGAGAGGGTATAGTAGGGGTAAAGGGTGATGGACAGAGACTTGGGGTGGTGAACACACAAAACAGTGTATAGATGATGTGTCGTAGAATTGTGCACCTGAAACCTTTGTAATTTTGTTAACTAGTGTCACCCCAATAAATTCAATTAAAAGGAAATAAAAATATACAAACAATAAATGAAAAAATGAAAAAGTATGCATTACTTTCTTATTAAGAAAAACAAGAAACCACAAATCTTAGGTGCAAGACTTAAAATTTACATTACATAGAGCAAGTATATATACATATACTATTATACATAAACTTTACTATAAATTCACATTATTATTAACATCTTTCTTACTTCAATGGCTGCAAAATCACTACTTTTTTAAAAATCCAAGCCACAGGCCATTCCTCTGATATCCTCAATAAACTCCCAGAGCTAATGGAAACATTCCAAAGTGAACTTAGAACCTAAACAAAGTACCCAAAGCACATGAACAGGCATTTTAAAGATTATAAATGATTCCTAGTAAATGAATACATGGAGAAGTATTAAAATACAACAGCCATAAACAGAGATATGCTAATTAAAATAAGGTACCTTTTTTAAATAGTAAAATTATTTTAAAAATTATATTTAATACTATTAATAATATAGGAAGTTAAAGTAAAAAGTAATAACTATAAAGTAAATTCTGATAAAGTTAAATAATTTTGAAAATTATAACTAATACTAGTGCAAAGTGATATTTTAATAAATATGATGGGTGCCTTTTAGAAGAGTTATGAAATCACTGGTACTAACCCATAAAAATATTCATGGTTTTGACTCTAAGAACTTAGAAAAAAAAAGTATCTTATACATTTTTGAAAATAATTTATAAATATTTGAAAATAATTCAAAATGTCAAAAAAGTAAACATATGAAGTTGTTCATTACGTGATACCAATCACAATAGCAAAAATGAGGGATAATTAAAATATTAAGTGATGGGATTCATGGAAAGTAAAATATGTCATATCTACATATAACTACAGCTTCATTAAAACAATGCTGATATTTTATAGCAATATGAATTATTAATAGGATCACAAGTGAAAAAAATTAAGATACAAATACCATTGTTCAATCTCATTAGAAATGTGGACTTGAAATGGTCTAATGTAGAAAGGTAGATGGAAAAGTAAGCAAAAAATCCCACCAATGTCACTATTTTCTAAAGCACCATATATATGTTCTTATTTTTATGATGAAAATATCCAATAGAAAAATAAAGTACTTGAAATACTCAACAAACTGCAATATTTAAAAAAAAACTATTTTCTCTTTAATAAGAAATTGCTAAAAGTAGTATATCATGGAAATTTCTCTATCACATTAAAGAACCCATTTCTTATACAAAGACATCTCATTTAATAGCAAAATAAAATTATAATGAAACCAAGTTCAAATACCTTGGCTAAAACTAGTTGAACATATCCCCCCCCCCCTCTGAAAATCAGGAGAATATACAAGGTAGTAATTCTTTCATACTTACCACTGTACCGAGAAATTGAATGCTCATGTTTCCACCTGCTTCTCGTGAAAGACACTGGGGGGAAAAAGAGGTATAAAATGAACTCACATCCACACAAAAATGTGTACCTGAATGCTCATAGCAGCATTATTCCTAACAGCCAAATAACTCAATTGTCTATCAAATGATAGATAAACAAATTAGCAATGGAATAATATTTGGCCATAAAAAGGAGTAAGTGCTTATACGTACTACAACAGAAGCCAAGCACAAAGGACCACATATTATATTATTCCATTTGACATGAAAAGTCCAGAGACAGGAAATATACTGATGCATTTTGGCCATTCTTGCAGAAGATTCTCAGCTGCATTTCCAGGTTGTCAATAACTCTGGCCCCAGCTAGTACAGGTTGCAGGTTTTCTCTTAGTTTGTTGCCTAAGAATACCCCAAATAGCCTATCTTTTCGCCAGAGCAAATTATTTTATACCACCTTGTCAAGGAAAGTACTAGAATAAATTTTTGATGACCCAAGAAGTAGAGGGGGAGAAAGTGAAAACTGGAGCTTCATAAACTTGTTGGCGCTTAAGAACAAAAGCAATGAATATGCACATAAGCTTTGATATGTCTCATTAAAAAAACACACAACATGCTTCCAACTCAAAGCGTAGATTTGAACTCTATATCCAGTCGCTTTTTGTCCTCCATTTCTTTCGTTTGTGATCTATTTCGTCTTGGCATTTTCACAGTTTCCCTGTGAATAATAAGAGCCGGAAGAGCCGGAGGCCAAGTGGCAGAAATTGCAATGCCAAGTCTGAGTGGTTAGAAAAAGTAGTAGATGCCAGGGTGCATTAGATAAGTTTGTCCAGGAAAGGGAAGCTATCCTCAGGCTTCTTTGACCTGCTCAAACAAAAGCCAGACCTAGTGCTTTTTTCTATGAGACATCTTTGGAGGAATCATGTGACAACATTTCAAGAAGTGGTCAATAAGTTGGTGCCTAAGTAATAGATACAATAGTAATTCTTTGCAATGTCCCATGTGAAACATTTTGTCAGACCAAAACTTGAGAAACAAGCCCACACTGACTTAAGGAAGAAAAGTTCAGAGAAAAAGATCTACCTGTCTATCTCCCAATACCACACTGCCTCGATACTGCTATTCCATAGTCTTGAAGTCAGATTGTATAAATCTTCCAACTTTGGCTCTTGTGATTTGTCAAATTACAGAATTTTTTGGTAGTAAGAAAAAAAAACACCATAAAATTTACTATTTTAACTATTTTTAAATATAAAGTTCAATAGTGGTAAGAATATTTACATTGCTATGAAACAGATCTCAAAACTTTTGGAGAATCCAAGATGGCTGAACAGGTAGACACCTAGCCTCAGCCGCACACAACAATTTCAATAAGATACAACTAAAATATAAAATGGACATTACCCAGAACTACAGGAAAGTCGACTGACTGTAAATTCTACAACGAGAAGCAAGGAGAAGGCCAGAAGGAAGCGCGGAGGACCTGGAAAAGCCTAAGGTACGGAGACGTGCAGCGCGCGCGGAGAGGATGGAGCCGGAGAGGAAGGGTGGGTGGCTGAATGCCTGGCTGGCATTCCCTAGCATGAAGGAGATAGAAGCTCTGACTGTGCTGGGCCCCAGTTCCTACTGCTCTGAACCCAGTTCTAGGCCAGATCCTGGGGATCCAGGCTCACACAGAGGGAGCTGGCTGTAAGGTGGAACCCCAGGGGAGCAGTGAAAGGAGGTCCCAGCGGCGAGCACATTGTACGCAAAGAAGGGATGGTTGGCTGTGCCGTGGGATTGCCCTGGTGGGAAGGAGACTGGGGCTCCAGACTGCTCTGAACACCACCTCCAACTCCACTTCCAACTGAACTGAACCCCAATACAGGGCTCATTGGGGGAGAGCCTAGACTTTTATAGCAGGCAAAAATCGAGGGCACCTTTCTCTCAGAGTGCTTGCAACGAGTACTGAAGGACCCTGAGACCCAGGAGCCACATAGGGCGGGGCTGATGGAAGCCAAAGCTGTAGGCTCCACCCTGAAACCCCGCCCCATGAGGGAAACTGTGAAAATGCCGAGACAAAATAGATCACAAATGAAAGAAATGGAGGACAAAAAGCGACTGGATATAGAGTTCAAATCTACGCTTATAAGGTTTTTCAAGAATTTCCTAGAAAAGATCGATAAGACCTATGAGGATATGAAAAGGGATCAACTAGAATTAATAAGGAATCAACAAGAAATGATAAGGGATCAACAAGAAATAAAGAATACGTTGTCTGAAATAAAAAATATTATACAGAGTCCTAAAAACAAAATGGAAGATCGCAAGAATCAAATAAAAGATTGGGAACATAAAGAGCCAGAAGACACTCCTCCACAGAAGCTAGAAGGCAAGAGAATCCAAAAAATTGAAGATAATGTAAGAAACTTCTGGAACAACTTCAAGCGAACCAACATCAGAATTATGGGGGCCCCAGAAGATGAGAGAGAGCAAGATATCGAAAACATACTGAAAGAAATAGTGACAGAAAACTTCCCCCACCTGGTGAAAGAATTAGATTTACAAGTCCAGGAAGCGCACAGAACTCCAAACAAAAGGAATCCAAAGAGGACCACACCAAGACACATCATAATTAAAATGCCAAGAGCAAAAGACAAAGAGAGAATATTAAAAGCAGCAAGAGCAAAGCAGGTTGTTACCTATAAAGGAGCACCTATACGATTGTCAGCTGATTTCTCAACAGAAACCATGCAGGCCAGATGAGAATGGCAAGATATATTCAAGGTGATGAATAGTAAGAACCTATAGCCAAAGATAATCTATCCAGCAAAGCTATCACTCAGAATCGAAGGTCAGATAAAGAGCTTCACTAATAAAAAAAAGCTAAAGGAGTTCATCACCACCAAACCAGAATTATATGAATTGCTGAAGGGGGTTCTTTCAGAAGAGAAAGTGAATAAAGATAAAAATTATGAACAACAAATACGTAACTATCAACAAGTGAATCTAAAAACCAAGGAAATTAAAAAAAAAATCTGATGAACAATATTAACTGTTGGATATAATAGAATCAGAGGTATGGAAGGGGAGTGAACTGATGATTCATGGGGAAAAGGAGAGAGGGGGATGTGGAAAGAGACTGAACATAATGGATGAGGACAATGGGGGGGTGGGGAGGGGACAGAGGGTGGGGTGGGAACCTGGTGGAGGAGAGCAATGGAGGTGGGGGGAAAGGAACATTTGTAATAATATGAACAATAAAAATTTATTTAAAAAAATAAAAGAAAAAAAAACAGAAAAAAAAACAAACTTTTTCATCTTGCAAATGGGACATACTATAACCATTAAATAACATCTTCCCTCCTCTCATCCGCCTTCCCCCACCCTCAGACCCTGATAACTACCATTATACTTTGTGTTTCTATGAATTTAACTACTTTAGATATCTTATATAAGTGAGTTCATACAGTATTTATCTTTTTGTATCTGCCTTACTTCACTTAGCATAATGTCAAGGTTTATCCATGGTTGTAGCATTTGACAGGATATTGTTTTCCTTTTTAAGGTTGAATAATACGCCATTTTATGTACACACCAGAGTTTGTTTATACACTTATCCATGGATGAACTATGGTGAATATGCTGCAATGAATATAGCTGTGCAAATACCAGTATCTCTTAGAGATCCTACTTTCAATCTTTTTGAATATATACTTAGAAATGGGATTACTGGGTCATATGGCTGCACTATTTTTTGAGGACACATCCTCCCATACTGTTTTCCATAGCATTTCCATACCAGTTGCACTAATTACAAGTCCAATAATAGTGTAGAAAGGTTCTAATTTCTCTATGTTCTCACCAACACTTGTTAGTAGCCATCGTAATGGGTGTGAGGAGGTTATCTCATTGTAGTTCTGAAGTGCACTTCTCAGATGACGTGCACTGCTCAGCATGCTAAGCATCTATTTATATGCTTGTCCATTTGTACAAGATCACTGGGGAAATGCCCATTCAAGTCCTTTGGCTATTTTTTAATTAGGTTAGGTTTTTTTGTTAAGTTTAGGAATTCCTTATATATTCTGGATATTAACTCCTTGTCAGATATATAATTTGTAACGGTTTTCTCCCATTCAATAGGATGCCTTTTCACGGTTAGTTATATCCTTTGATGCACAACATTTTTAAGATTGTTGTCATCCCATCTGTCTCTATTTGTTTTTGTTGCCTATGACTTTGATGTTATCCAGAAAAATCATTAAGTCCAATGTCAAGAAGCTTTCTGCTTGCATTCTCTTCTAGGAGCTTTATATTTAGGCCTTTAATCCACTTTGAGTTAATTTTTATATATAGTGTAAGATGTGTCCAATTTTATTCTTTTCTATGTGGCAGATCCATGGTTTTAGAAGAAAAACCTAGCATATGACTATCATATTTGTTTCCAACTCCCATTTGTCCTCTGCGTTAAAGACTCAGTTAATTGTTAACTGAACATCAATACCTGATAGCTAATGCACATATTAAATCTACCAAGTCTACACAGAATTCTTGATTTGTCTTCCCAAGCTGCACCTCCCTTAGGTTTCCCATCTCAGTAAATATTACTATTCATTCATCTGTTGTTCACCCTTAATTCTTTAACTTTCTTTACATCCAGTATTTAATCTGTCAATCTTTTGTGCCTTCTCTCCTAAATATATGTCAAATCAGTTCACTTTTTACCATCTCCACTGCTACCACCTTTATCTAAGTCAAGGGCTGGAAAACTGCAAAGAGACATATACTAAACATTTTAGGCTTTTTAAGCCCAGAGGCAAAATTGAAGATATTATGTAGCTACTTGGATAACAAGAGAAAAAAACAATTTTCACATTTTTTGTAACATACAAAATATAACTAAGCACATTTTTTCTGTAATACTTCAATGTCACGCTTTAATGATATTTTACATATTTCATCTTCAAAAATGTCTCTTTCCACAGACATTACTGCCAAATACCAACATCAATCCACAGGCATGTGCTTTTACTTGAACATAGTTGGCAATTGGAAAGGCA